AAGGGTTCGGCTGGAAGCCTATCAACTTTAGTCAACTGGTCATCGTCTTGGCTTGTGACATTCACCTTCAATTTTATGGCTGAATGGAGCGAAGGAGGTCTCTCTCCACTCAAAAGTTTAATAGGTATAATAGACAGTATTAATCTCAAAACATCACAACTGATTGTTGTGTTTTCAGGTACATTTCTCATATACTCGGCCATGTGCTGTCTGGGTGTTGTATTCATTGCAAAGCTAGTTCCAGAGACTAGAAGGCGAACGTTAGAAGAAATACAAGCATCAATTGCCCATTTTTCGTAATAGGATGATGATACAGACGGGGTAACAGTGCAGATCTCTGCTATTTATAACCATTGTATCTCAGTACCAGTGTTTAGAAGATTTTATCACCTCCATTTTCTGTATTCAAAGTATCAAAACTATTGTTGCCACCACGGTCCACCGCCTCAGTCCGGTCCAATTCTGACTCTTAACTCCTTTGTTTTCTTTACGGCACCGTTTAGCAGTACCAAAATAAAGGCCACGTTTGTTTGGTGGTCGGTGTTTGTGTCTCCGGTCAATGCATGGATCTCAAAATTAATTACTTGTCAATTCTGTTAAAGCTAGATTATTTACAATCGTCCATTAGCAAGTATCTTCTATATAAATCAAATTAAAGAATTAAATTTTCTAAATAATATTGATTAAAACTTTCAAATATAATGATTTGTTCTCAAATTTCCAGTATTTGAGTTGAGTTGATTCGCTTAGTTTGAATTTTCCTATTGAAAGATAATTAATTTTTTTTAAATACGTGAAGTTGGGAGAAATTAGTCTTGAAATTAAAATTAGTTAAAAACACTTTAATTATAAATAAAAAAAATAGATTATTTACACAAAATTTAGAGAATTTAGATCATAATTATGACCACACAAATGTTTATTAAGTTCACAAAAATTATTATACTGTGTTTATAGAAAAGTAAATATTTTATTACTTAATAATTTAAAATTAAAATTCTAATTAATTTATAGAATTGATATAAATATATACTTTTTCTTAATAATAATAATTTTTTATCAGCAACATAAGTCAAAATTAATCGAAACTATGAATACTAGTAATTTAGGAAGGGCTAATTTACTTTAATTACATGGTTTAAAGGTTAGCTTGTTCTTTTAATTTAGTGGCATATCTAGTAAAATGGGACAAGCTTAAGGAACGGTTTTGCCATTTTGTTATAATCAGACCAAAATTGTTGCCACTTTACTGATTCAGTACTGAGATTCCGTTCCAGTCTGGTCCAATTCTGACTCTGACAACTCATTTGTCTCTTCAATTATGCTCTGACAATTCTGACTCTACAGTCAATGCGTGGACCTCGAAATTAATTACTGACCAGTTCGGTCGTCCGAAGGCAAGTATTTTCTGCACCTGGCGTTTTTGGCCTTTAATAATTATAAATCAAGTTGTAGTT